TGACGAAAGTTAAAATTCTTCGTTTGTTAAACGAACGATACAGTTAAAGTCATACCTCATGAATTTTGCGTCATTGATCGAATGAATTGAATAATCAATCAGTTATGCGAACAAATATTGCTAATTTGCCGTTGCACATGCCTGCCGAGCATCCTCACAACCAGCGATGACATATAAGTCGCGGTTTTGGAAATTGAACTGCGCTGTCTCAGTTTGTGACCACGAAGTGTCTAGAAAGCGAAATCTGATGCCTGACGTTTGAAGCATCTTTGCTTGGGGTTGACTAAATCGATCCAGAGCTGCCGCGTAGTAAAGAAAATCGATAATTTGCAACGGAAGGCTGTCTACTCTCAGTCCACTCGTTTCCTTTCAGCTCTAGAGCAAAAAATGTAGTGCTTTGTTACGCTATTCCTGATTTATCTCCGCAGGTAGTCTTTGAAGCTACCGCAGAGACCAGAAATTATGAGTCACTCGAGGACATAAATCTTCAGATGAGTGGCTTTACTACTGCTGTCAACTCTGTTTAGCGGATGCGCACGACATGGATTTAAGAACGATTGATTCGCGCAGTAAACCTTGACTTCGTGGAAATTAGTTGACAAAGCTGGTTTGCATGCTGGTTCCCTGGCATCCTTTGATTGAATGAAATTCTCTTAGAATTCTCAGGACTGGGTGGACGAAAGAGTGCGGCATCATCATATGTCAGAAACTCTAGCAGTTGTGATCTCGTGACGTTGAGAAGAATCGGCTCACGCTCACGAGCTTATCTCGAACTGCCGTGTTTTGAACTATGTCGAGTTTCCGCAAACCAGCAGTCCTTCGAAGAATCCTCATTTCTACCGCTTGTATCCAGGATCGCACTTATTTGGCCATCAGTCAGCATTTTCGACCGCAGATGATCCAAATATTTTTGCAATACATAGCTGCGAGTGGAATACTTTGATGTAAGCTTTATCCTGATCCATGAAGTAGTCATATACTTCCCTCGCATATTCCATGTATCCAGTTATATCTCACAAACCAGGCGGAAAGTAAACATATGTTCTGCGGTGCTGCGACCAGAGCGGATCTACATTGCACGTCCTGAATCTTCTGACGTAAACTCGAGCAAATTTATATGCAGTAAAAGGCTATCCAGTGTTCTTTGACTTTGGTTACCTTTATGCCGCTTGTTTAGTTTTACTCTATCCTCAAAGCCATATTTCCTTGTGATCAGAACATCGTTAAAATTAACGAGCCGTCTTAACAACATTTCTCTGAAGTAACTTTTTTCTGAGTTACACCTTGTGCTGATTATCACATTACATAATCTGATGTCAGGTGGGTCATATCGAAGTGGAGCCCCATAAGAAACCCGCATCGGATAGCATGGCCATAACCTCGTCCACTTTGGTATGACTACACCAGAATATCATGTTGTCCCTGTTATTCGCATATCATTGACCTACTACCCGTTTCTCGGCGGGTTGCACTAAAGTAACACTTCGTGCGATAAAACTAAAATAGTTCCTTTTACGGATTCAAACCCGGCCCTCTTGAGTTTGAAGCCAACCTAGTTGTCACGGAGCAACTTGTGTCTGTTTTAGCTAGCTGTGTTATAAGGCCTCCTTACGGTTCTTTCGCTCTGCATAAACTACTTCAAATCCCTCAAAAGTTTGTGACTGCTAGAACTCCGCTTTATCTCCTTACCAGCTGAAAATTTTCAGTATTTCCTCTCACACAATTGTACTATGAGCTATCTGTACGATTCTGTTTGCTTCGGAACCCCGAAAAACGAAATCTTTCGCTTTGCTAACCGTGGGATAGATATTTTCTTGGGCATATCCAACGTGTAATACCCCGTGTTTTTATTGTTTTATCAGCACATCATTAAAGGGGGCAGTGACGTACTAGGTTAGTAGGGTTCTCTTCATTCTAGAGATGTTAGGTTCAAGCCTCAATTACTGTGTGAAAGGTTTTCATGCATTGCTGATATTCTTGTGCAAGCAGTTTGTGCCACTGTGATTCGGTATAACCCGACCGGAAACTGGGAGTAAGTACAAACACCTGCAAATAATGGGGATGGTATGATATTCTGCTGTGATCATGCCAGAGTTTGCGGTGAAATGCAGGGCTATGATGTCTGATGTTCGCGCCTTATGGCTACAGTTTTCTGTTACCTGGTTGCTAATTCAAAATCAGCAGATGTAAACCGTAAATAAAATGGAAATTAGAAAAAACGTTAATCCCGGTATTCTTGAGTCAACAACCATGGCAGTTGTTCAAAAAAAAATAGTTAACGATCTTGCTGCAGAACAGATTAAAAGTTGTTGAATTGTGTGACAATGAATAGAGATTTTTGCTTGCATTCTTATCAGCATTCGTTTTTGCATTGCTTCGCCACGACATGCGGTCAGCATTTTTGTCATTTCACTTCACTTTCTAAAATATTATACTGTTAGAAACTAGTAAAAAAGTTTTTATATTTTATAAACTGCGTCTGCAAACACTTTATTCCATAATTTTTATAGTAGTGTCCCGGACGAAAATGCTAGAATCATGTACACATGATGAAAAGTCATATTTTTAAACAGAACTGTCGAATGTGTTTGTGTAAATACCACCATGTTGTAGCCATTAACTGAAAATTAATAATGAGAATTTCTCTGAGCTGCTTAGCTGTTACATTAATGAAACTACTCACATTGCCACTGAGGCTATAAGTATCCTTTAGCGGCGTCCATGTTATACGCGTGCATCACACTGGCATCACGTAAGTCAGTTAGGGAATGATTTCCTGATAATCTGCATTAGCCGAGTAAAAGTAATTCATACCGCTTAGAAGAGGTTCAAACAGATTTACTTCACACAGATTTATTTTTCTGCTACTCCAAACTTCCCATAAGCTATCGCAAATGAAAGTTAACGCTCAGCAATAGATTATGCCGAACCTTAGTTGAGGAATTTCTTGATAGTAACGCAGATGTCAGATAGACAAAACAACGTTGTACAAGTTGCCTTTGGTTCAAGGGCTTCGTTGAATGTCTTCCATTCCACCTAAAAGTGCCCGTTTGGTAAAGAAGAGACGAACAGTGACAAATAAAATATTCATTTCATCAACGAAAAATTTTTCGTAGCGCATCAACTGCTGCACTAATTATGATGTACGTTATTTGCATAAGATAGTTATCAGGTGGAACGAAACATTTTCGAAAAATTGCACAAAAATTAACCATTCGATAATATAAACAATATTGCCAAGAATGACAGTGCTCATTTTCAATGAACATGATCTTAAGAATATTAAGTTGTACGAAACATAACCCCGATTTACTGGAGTAGACTCCAGGAGTCGAGCTTTCGCTACCGCCGTCAGTATATGATATTAAAATTAATGATACCAGATTTTAATGGCAAAAACAGTGTAAAGAATGAAAAATTCATTTCTTACGTTACATCGATTCTGCGGTAGTTTAAGACAGATGGAAATCTGACATCTGGTTGTACCGCAATGTTGCACCGCTCTTGCTTCTAGTAGCCTAAGGGGGACCATTCAAATACCGTGGAGCCGTAGCCTGCTTAAATGGACTCCTTTATCAGCAGACCTAATTTAGATTGGTCTTTGTCTATAACAGACACATTGATATGTTTTAAAGAATGCCCTTCAGCAATCACATGGAATTGTGAGTCCAAGGCGGACTGCAAAAAAGTGCTCTTTTATATGGATGTTCAATT